TAACTATGGGGAGGAAGTGGGAGGGGAGCTGTTGCATTGTGGTAAACTGTGGTCAATGACATGAGACAAAGTATATGTGAACCGCTGTATGGAAAGTGAATTTGCTCTATAAACCTTCACCCAAATCACAATTAAAAGAAAAAAAAAAAAGGAGTATGAAGGAGTCAGAGGTAGAGGACAGAGTAGGAGGGGAGAGACCAAAGAGACGAGCAGGAAAGTAACCAGATGTCCAACCTGAGGCAGCTTGAGAGATGGGGAGGATGCTTTTCTGGCCTCTCTTCCTCCCTTGACTACCATGAGCCCCTCTTTTCCAGGCTGCACAGACCACCGGTTCTGCCACAGGAAGTCCTACCATCTCCAGGTGCCTAAGAATATCCTCCAGCTGCCTGTGCAGTTGCACGACTTCTCCTGGAAGCTGCTGGTGCCCAAGGACAAGGTGAGCCTGGCACTGGTGCCCACCCAGAAGCTGCAGCAGTCCACCAGCGAGAGAATCTGCAACACCAGTTTTAGCTACCTTGTGGCCAGCGCCGTTCCTGGGCAGGACCTTTATTTTGGCTTCTTCTGCCCTGGAGGCTCCATCGAGCAGATCCAGGTGAAGCAGAATATCTCGGTGTCCTTTCGTACCTTTAAGCCCGACTTCCACCAAGAGGTTTCCAGGCAGGACCTGACTGTGTCCTTTATACCACATTTAAAAGGTAAGGGGTTTTTTAACTCTCTCCCCATCTTCATGCCTCCTTAGGCTTTCTCATGTGGATGTTCATTTTATTGTGGCTCTGTGATCATCTTGATTATGAGAAGGGATGGCTAATTGGGCTGGAGATAACTAACAGGAGAACCTGGTAAAAGAATTCAAAGTGGCGGTTCTGAGGAGTGAAAAATAGAAGTGGAAAGGTGGGGAGGAAGCTGTGCTTTCATAATAAACTTTGTAAAACTATTTGGTTCTTTAAATCACTTGTTCTCAATAAAGAAGCAATCCTGAGTCCTAATCCTCACTTTCCTATTAGCCTAGCGTGGAAAATTCCAGGGTTTAGAAGTAAGAAAGATGTTTCTGACAGTGGGAGTGATGGTTGGCAGGCAGCAGAACAGATAATCAGGGTCAGATCTTTTTTTGGATGAAGGCAGGGTATAAATGAGCAAAAAGCAAATATTTCAGAGTCCTAGATATTTAACATAAAAAGCCTCATACAGACATTTTTATGATTCTTGTTTTGCAATTCAAAATGCTCTGTAGAATGCACAGAGGAAAATATGGGGAGAGAGATGAAACTGCCTGTGGAGACTGAGGGTCCTGTTCTCCAGCATGGGGAGCAGACGCCTCCTGAAGGTTGGTGTGTGGCCTCCAGTGTGTTGAGGTAGTAAATGAAGTCTAAATGGTTCATAGCCGTGAAGTCTAAATGGTTTGTTTTTAAAAAGCCACAGTCATCATTACAATTGACTCAAAGGACTTGAAGTTAGAGGCCATTTTAAATCAGGCGATACCTTCATACTTTAGTTCTCCTTTTGTTCTTGGAAGCATGAGTGGGAGGAAGAAGAATCTTTGGCCATAAGATTAAGGTCAGTCCAGGCTGCCTGACATCTCCTAGGTTACCAGAGAAACTCCTTCTGAGGAGTCTCTGAAAATAAGATGCCTTCTCATCTGTGTGGAATGTTGGGTTTTTATCTTGCCTGAAGGTAGGTAATAGATTCCTTAACAACATGTCAGAGCCTTTTTCAGCTTTATAATTTTAGAATTCTTTTTTTTAATCTCTGAAACAAAAATTAGTGCATATCAGTCCCACCATAGAGCAGTTAACATGAATGTTAACCGTGTTGAGGGCATTTCTGAGATAACCACTGTTGTTGTCGTATGTGCTATCGAGTCAGCCCTGACTCATAGCAACCCCTCCTTGGGTTTCTGAGGCAGTATCACTACGGAAGATTGCCCAACCTTCCTTCTAAGGAGTAGCTGGTGGGTTTGAACAGCCAGCCTTCTGGTTAGCAGTCAAGTGCCTTAGGCACTACGCTACCAGAGCTCCTGAGATAACCACTAACCAGTGGCAAACAGGCCCATTTGGTGTTTGCTTGTTTGTTTTGTTTTTTTCAAAAGATCTGATGGAGCCTCTAACTCTGAACTGACCGATATGGTAGCCACTCACCACATGTTGCTATTGAAATTCATATTACACAGCCACTCTGGGCAATTTCAAGTAGTCAATAGATACACGTGGCTAGGACCTACCATATTGGACCATGCAGATACAGAGCATCTCCATCATTGCAGAACATTCTGTGGGACAGTGCTGGTCTAGATATTTAACATTGTCCCCTCCATCCCTCCTTTGTTCCACCATTTTGATTGAGTGAAACAACATCTGTTGGGATTCCCTTCCCTTTCCTGCAGAGGATGGCATTTTCACTGTGACCCCAGACACAAAAAGCAAGATCTACTTGAAGACACCTAGCTGGGGTCTGCCACCCCTCACTTCAGTGTCCTGGAATGTCAGTGTGCCCACGAACCAGGTGGCCTGTCTGACTTTCCTCAAGGAGCACACCGATGTGGTCTGCCAGACTGGGCGCGCATTCATGATCATCCAGGAACAGCAGACCCATGCTGAGGAGATCTTCAACCTGGAAGACGGGGTGCTTCCCAAGCCAAGCTTGCGCCATCACAACTTCTGGGTCAACATCTCCAACTGTAGCCCCGTGAGTGGCAAGCAGTTGGACGTGCTCTTCTGGGTGACACTTACTCCAAAGACAATAGGTAAGGGCCTTCTAGGAATGGTGGTGGACAGAAATTTGGGAAAACTGAAGAGCAAGCCAGGGATGAGAGTCAGAAAATGTGAATTTGAGTCCTGATCGTCCCTGTATCAGTCAGCTATTACACCAATAGTGCTGCATAACAAATCACCCCAGAACTTGTTGTCAGGTACCATCGAGTTGGTTTTCAATTTGGAGTAACCCCATGTGCCAAAGGAGGACTACCCCATAGGATTTTCTTGGCTGTCATCTCTACAGGAACAGATCCCCCAGTCTTTCTGCCACAGAGCAACTGTGTGTGTTCTAACCACCAACCTATTGATTAGCAGCTAAATGCTTAACTATTGCATCACCCCAGAACTTAGTAGCTTAAAAACAATTATTTATTATTGTTCACAGGTTAGCTGGGAAGTTCTGGTCTGAACTGAGCTTACCTGGGCTCACCTACACACATGTGAACAACTGCACGTTGACTAGGTGACTTTGCTGATCCTGGATGGGCACTCTCATGGGTCTGGGGCCCAGCCAAGATCAGCTGGAACACTGGGCTTACTTGACTGTCTTCCACATGGTTTCTTTAGCAGGGGCAGAGAGATCCCAAGAGAGACTGGAAGCATGCAAGGTCAGTTGCTGTTTAGACAGAAACTGGCATGCCGTTACTTCTCCACATTCCTTTGGCTGAAGGAGGTCACATGGCTAGCCTCAATTCAAGGGGTGTGCAAATAGACTCCACCTCTTGATTGGAGGAGCAGAACTACAAAGTAAAGCACATAAATCAGGAAGTGGGAGAATCATGGCATTTTTCCGGTCAACCATGTCCTTCACTATTAATCTCTCCCTGACATGGGAGAAGGCTCTTTATAGTCCTATGAACTTAACTGCCTTGTCTGTCAGGAGTAGATGATAATAACTACCCATAAAAATATTGTGGGGATTCAGTGCTGGAAAACATGACACAGATACATGCTGCTGGTATTTTTATTTATTTTTCTAGTATGTCACTAACAGGTTTATTAAGTTTTTGGCTTCCAAAAATGTATCAATCATATAAACATATGAAAATACTTTTAGGGCAGTATCGTACTTTGGGCCCAGCAAATGATTACCCATATGAAGTCTCTTAAATGTTAATTGATTTCTTTTCCTATTTGTTATAGAAAACACTCTATTGAGATAAACATAATTTAGAATAAAAATGTTCTCTGAAAATAATGATGTACATAATTTTTCCTTTTTTTAACTTTTTATAGTAGTTTGGGTGAAAGCCAACGGAGCAAATTGGTTTTCCATTCAATAGTTCATACACATTTTGCTTTGTGACATTGGTTGTGATCCCCTCTGTGTAACAACACTCTTCCCTGGGTGGTATTTTTTCTTAGTTTCATTCAAACAGTGAAATCATGAAATGTCCTCAGTGTCGGGCCTTAGCCCAGGATGAGGAGTTGGCCTGTATCCTCTGAGTTGCAGGAGCCACTGCAGACTTTCAAGCAAGGGAAAGGCCGTTTACCAATTTGCAATTGTGCTAGAACAGTCCCTCGTGTGGCCGTGTGTGCCCTATATTCAGAGATGGCCACAGAGCATCACAGACTGTTGGAACCAGAAGGGACCATGGAGGTTGTTTCCTCAGGCCCTTCCCTCTCTGGCAGAGATTGAGTGTCTACCCATGGCAGTTGGTTAGTTGCAAGAGAACCGGTAAAAACCAAAAGCCCCAAGTGAGTGGCTCTCCCTCACTCTCAAGTTAGCTTCTGGGTTTTCTTCTTCTCTTACATTTATTTTCTGTCATGTTTTCCTGTTGATGTTTTCTCTTGGTCTCACCTTTTATTGTCTGGTGAACAAGCAAGAAATTCTAAGTTGCTGTTTGGGATAGTGCTCCCTCTGATTTATTTTCTTCTTCCTTTGTGCCACTGTAGGAAAAGGACAGCACAAATGCAACCCTCGATTTAACTCCTTCACTTCTGACTTTTCACCCCCTTACTTCCTTCTATACTCCTCTGCTCTTCTCTTCTGCAAGACAGGCTGTGGCAACTGGCACACAGCACCCGGTATAGGCCAGGAGTAGCCTTTGGAGTAAATCTGGTAGGTCCTCTCCCCACCCATGCAAGTTTGCTTCAGTTACCTATTGCAGCATAACAAACTACTCTGAAACTTAGTGGCTTAAGACAATAACCATTTTATCTGTTTGCCATTCTGTAGGAGTTAGGACAGGGCACAGCACGATGGCTCACCTCTCCTCCAGGACATCTGGGGCCTCAGCCAAATGCCTTGAATAGCTAGAGGCTGGCTGGTAGGGTTCAACTGGGTCCATGTCTGGGGTCTTGGTGCTGACTTTTGGCTGGGTTCCCTGTTTTTTTCACCCCATAGAGTTTCTAGATGGCTAGCTTGGGCTTCTTCACAGCATGGTGGTCTCTGTAGAGTCAAATTTTGCATAGTGACTGGCTTCCCATCAGAGAGCTACCAGACCTCTTAAAGGCTAGACCCAGAATCGGCACAGTCACAGTCTATTGGCCAGCCCAAACTCATGAGGGAGAACAATAAACTTCTCTTCTGTGAGGAGCAGTATATGCGTACAGGAAGGGAAGGAATCGAGGATGGCCATCTTTAGAGACAATCCACAATTTCATCTCTGGCTTAACCCCACAGATCTCCTCACATTTCTCCCTTATGTCTTTGCTCACAGACCTGACTATTGTCATCATTGCAGTGGGAGGTGGAACCTTACTGCTGTGTGCCCTCGGACTCATCCTTTGCTACTGGAGAAGGAAGTAGGTGGAATTTCTCAAACTTTCCTCAGCTGATTTGATGTCTCTTCAGATCTGCGCAGAGCAGATGTATCATTAATTATTGACTTTGTTTTCTTGCTTCCTATTTTTCCCCCAAAGATCAGCATTAAATAATGTTGCCAGGTGAGAGTTAAACTTTGAGGAAAAACAAAAAACTATACCTAGGGAAAAAACATGTTGTGATGTTTTTGCCTACAGTTGATTGTGCCCCAGTACAAGTTCCCTGTGAGTCACTGACTGATTGCTCATTAGCCTGTGATCGTTGAAGGAGTGGCCTGGGCAGGAAAACAGGCACTGCCAGACCAGGCTTCTGAAACCACTCACTCCATCATCCTGAGGAGAAACGAGTGCATGCTACCCCAACTTGTTCTCCTCCACTTTCTTAAACAAACTGTTTTATGCTTGTTTATTAACTTTTTTGAGGAAGCACCAAAAAGCCAGCCCTGGGGATGAGAGGAAGGAAGGCCCAATTAACTGACTCAGACTTACCTCCCACCACCTGAAAAGAACAGCTTTTGTTTTATGAAAGGAACATGTTGACCTTTTTAAACAGAGCACACTGCCACTAGATTTTATACATTCTGGTGGCATAATGCCTAAGGCATTTGACTGCTAACCTGAAGGCTGGCGGTTCAAAGACACCAACCACTCCTCGGAAGGAAGATTGGGCAATCTACTTCCCTAGAGATACCACCTTGGAAACCCAAGCAGGGGTCGCTATGAATCGAATAGACTTGATGGCAGTGAGTTTGGTTTTTGTTTTTTTTTTACTCAAATTTCTAATTAAAGTCACAGGGGAAGGAGGGTACCAGATGGGTGGCAGAAGTAGGGAATATCTTTTCCTTAGCATGATGTAACCTTCTGAAAAGCCAAAAACAAAAGGCATGTTTTGTTAACCGTGGCCATGAGCAAACAACAGAAATTCTGGATCTGCAGTGAGACTGTCTAGAAATGTCTCCACTAAGGAAGACAGCCCGGCTCACAGCAGACCCAGGGAGAGAGGCCTTCCCTCCATAAAACAGGATTGTACATCTATCACACGGGGGAAAGGCTTTCTTTCAAACCTCATTTCATTGTTTCCCTCAGGAGACTTTTTTGTCAGGGTGCATCCATGGGAAAGCGTGATATTCACACAGGGCCCGGCCTCCTCCTCAGGGGCAGTCCTTCTCTAAACTGCCCCAGTCCTGGCCTGAGTGGGTGCAGAAGGCCTAGTCTGGGGTTGTTATGTGAGGATAGATGAGTTTTGTGAGGAGAATGAAGGGAAATAACACCATCAAACTGGTTTGCTAAACATTTATTACCTGAGGGTCTCCTGAGCACTAAGTACTGTGCTAGGCGCTGGAGATACAACGATGAGCAAGACAGTCTCTTCTTCTACAGAACTCACATTCTGGGCGGTGGAGGGAAAATGAGGCAGGCACATAAACAGTCCATCTCAGGGCGGCAGGAGAAGAGCTATGGCAGGGACAAGCAAGGCTTCGTGGAGCACTAAGGAGGGGCAGTCCGTTCCTGGGCATCAGGCGGGAACCTTTGGAGCCCATCTTCTCAGCCAAAGACTCAGTGTTAAAAGCTCACTGTACTAGACTTATTTTTATCTCAGAAAAGTACAGGGATTCTGTGCACAGTGTGTGAACCAACAGCCATAATGATCCATTATGCTAATTGAGCTAATGTCCTCCATTTTAATTTCCCCCTGCTGTTTGGCTCTCAGAAATGTTTTCCATGGCAGAGGGTGCTCATGCCTGTCCATGTCCATGTACCAAAGAATGTGAAAGACCAAATGTTAATGGTATTGTCAGGGAACTATGACACCACAGCCTGAGTCTTGTCTTCTTCTTAGCTCTTTCCTCTGTTGGACATTACTGCTGAGGGGACTCAGTCCCTCTGCTAATGCTTTCCCCCCAACTCAGGCTGAAAACTGAGATACACCTTCCCTCCTAAGTCTTTATATTGCCATTTGCAATCGAGATGGTTGGAGCTATTGCCAGTGTAGAAGAGGGAGGGAAGCATTATCCTTGGAGAAGTACTGAGAGTCCCAGAAGGTTGGTCTAGGCATGCTGAGCCCGATACGGTTTAGAAGGGCTGGGTCACCACCCATTTCTAGTTAGAAGGAGGGCAAAGCTGTCATCAGACATCTCTACCATTGGATCAAATCTAACCAAAATGTAATTTGAGCATTAAATAAATAAATACTGTCAAGTCGATTCCAATTCATAGTGCTCTTACAGGACAGAGTAGAACTGCCCCATAGGATTTCCAAGGCTATAATCTTTATCTTTCTGCTTCAGAGCAGCTGGTGAGTTTGAGCCACTGACCTTTTGGTTAGGAGCTGAGTGCTTAAACACTGCACCACCAGAGCTCCTTAATTTGAACATAGGTCGTGTTAATGGTGCCCTCTCTAAACCAGTCTTTCCCAGCTGTGATCTCTCCATTTTCACCCTGAACACTAGAGACAAAAGCTGATCCCTTCTAAATGCTCAAGAGTCTTGGTGGTGCAGTAGTTAAGCACGTGGCTGCTAACCAAGAGGTCAGAAGTTTGAACCCACCAGCCACTCCTCAGAAGAAAGATGTGACAATCTGTTTCCATAAAGATTTATATCCTTGGAAACGCTAAGGGGCAGTTAGTTCTACTCTGTCCTTTAAGGTCGCTATGACTCAGAATCATCTCAGTGGCAGCGGGTTTCTGAATGCACTCTGAGGACAGTAGTCAGTTTCAAGGAAGTGGAGGAAACTAGGTCAGAACCCTGAAGAATCTAAGTTGTTTTCACTAGTTGCTGTCAAGTTGGCTCCACCTCATGGTGACCTTGTCTATAACAGAGTGAAACGTTGCCCAGTCCTGTACCTCCTCCATGATCATTAGAATGTTTGAGTCCACTGGGCTATAGAAATAGTGCCAATCGAAGATTGTTTTCTTCCTAACTTTTGTGTCTTGTTCTCTTTGTCCCAATAGGAAAAAGGAGGTAAACAAGGGCCCCGTCGTAGGTATCTACAATGGCAATGTCAATACCCAGATGCCGAGGCAGCAAAAAAAGTTTCAGAAGGGACGAAAGGACAATGACTCCCACGTGTATGCGGTCATCGATGACACCATGGTCTATGGGCATCTGCTGCAGGATTCCAACGGGTCCTTCCTCCAGCCAGAGGTGGACACCTACCGGCCCTTCGAGGGCCCCATGGAGGACTGCCCTCCCTCCCTGCCCTCCGTATGCTCCAAAGCCCCGACTAGAAAATTGGCCTCAGAGGAGCACCTCCCTTGCTTTTCTCCTGAATCTGAGAGTGAACCATACACCTTTTCCTACCCCAACAATGGGAATATGGGCCCTGGGAACATGGACATTCCCTTGCAGAACATCCAGGAGCCAGAGGAGCCAGCAGATCCAGGGGAATAACTTGGACCCAGACTCAAACATTCTGCTGAGATGCATAGAGCAGGACACCAAGACACCCTTTAGTGTTCCTCACCAGAAACCCTGAAGAAGGGGAACTATACAGAAGGAAGATCAGGAGGTCTTTCTGGACACCACCACCAACTTCTGCTTTCCAAGTGAATTCATTCTGATGATGAGACGTTGAAAACAATGAATTCTGACCTGGATACAGTTGTCCCGGTTCAGGTCCTTCTACACTCAGATTGAGTTGTAAAGCAGCCCAGAATGTGAGGAGACAGGCATGGTCACCCAGCCCAGGCTTGCAACAGGCCCCAGATTTGGAATGATAGACAGGGGCTTGGCCTCTTTAGTGAAACAATCCCAATTCCTGGGAGCCCACCCGAGGTCCCTACTTTCATTGGGGTCCCCTGGATGAAAATGACAATGTGCCTTTTATTATGATTATTTATTTGGTAGTCCTATGTATTTAAGAGGTCAAGTGTATAACCATACAGCTCTTGTCACCTAGCTTAGTGACAACTCATGCTGGCTGGATTGGACAGCTGGGTTTTAAGTTCTGCTGACCACTAGATAAAGATGTGCTTCTCCCTGGGAGTGGGAATAATTTGCAGTCTGTCCAGCCAGAAAAGGAAGTGTGTGTCTAGACGACGCTCACACATATCTACGTTGATCAAAGACATCCTTGTTCTCTGCCTGCATGTCGTTATCCCACTGCAGAAATTTATCTGGAGTCTCAACATCCTGTAGTCCTAGAAATAATAGAAATTTCCTGAGTTGTCATTTGTGGCTCTCCCAGCTGTAGCAATAGTTGGCCTTTTAAGCAGAAATTTAGAGAATATTTTCATCTTTTTAAAACATTTAAAAATACACTAGTGAGTGGCAGCTGTATTAGTTTCCTATGGCTGCTGTAACAAGTTAACCACAAACTTGGTGGGTTAGACTACACAAACTTATTACCTTATAGCTCTGGAGGTCAAGAGTCTGGAATAGGTTCCACTGGGCTAAAATCAAAGTGACAGCAGGGCTGCTGCTTCTGGAGGAACACAGCCTTTTCTGGCTTTTAGAAGCTGACTACATTCCTTAGCCCATGGCTCCCTCCATCTTCAAAAGAAGGGATGACTTGTCGAGTCTTCCTTATGCTACATCTGACATGGACTCTTCTGCCTCCCTCTTTCACTTTTCAGGCCCACCCAGCTGATCTAGGATAACCTCCCCATCTCAAGATCTTTGGCTTAATCACAACCTTTTTGCTACATAAGGTAACATATCTGCTAGTTCCAGGGATTAGGTCACAGATATCTTTGGAGAGGCCTATCATACCACCTTCCAGCTTACCATCACTCTCAAAGGAGAGACTATAAATTGAGTCAGCCCACTAGTGTGTTGTGTTGAGTCTTTTGTTGAGTCTGCAGTCTTTTTAAAGAACTCCTTGCTAACATTTAGATTTTTAAAAATTTTACATACAAATCCAGATCAGAAGACCTAGCCACACTAGGACTCACATTTTCCTCTGGCAACAGTTGGCTGGGGCTGAGCAACAGCTGTCACCTTTAGATGGAGGGCTGAGTTCACCAGTTCACCACACTCCCCACCACTCCCTATCACCTCCCACACTGAGGTCTAGTGTCTGTTGTTATTGATCAGTGCCTTTGCAGGGTTATTTTCTTGTAATGGAATGGCAAGTTTGAGACCCATATTATTATTAAGTGAGAAGATGGACCATGAGGCTGATGTATGCTTCAAGAATTTTCTTACATTCAGCCCACATCCCTCACTTATATCAGTTCCCAGCATTTGTCATTTGGCCCCTGCTCTAACCTGCTATCCTACCATAGAATCTAGCTGCAATTTGTGGTTTTGTGTTCTGACTGTATATATTTTAAAGTCACCTTAACTGGGTTGCCACACTTCATTCTTCCTAAGCTAGATCCCTCTTGCATTCCTGATCAACTTGGCCTCACATGAGGCCTGTGTCCCGCCAAGAGAACACACAGGGGTCAGGATCCCGCACTTGAGAGGAGAGTGATTATGTTCCAGCTTGTTGGCATTCTTCAGTTCTAAGTTGAATATTTCCTTGGCGAACCAACCTTTAAAAAACAGAAGTGCTTCGTTGAGTTCAGTGAATCCACCTTGGAAACACACTGCTTGGACTTGTTTGAATGCGACTTTGCCTCTAGGAAAAGGAATGTGCAATCTCCTAAACTGTGTGGAGTCCACGACCTCTTGAACTCTTTCCAGAAGGGAGGGTGTGTGGGGAGTTTTTATGCTCCTTGTGCTGCCTCTGTCAGTGCCCTTTCTGAAAGACTGGCTTCCTGCCCCGATACCCTTAGCCCTTGACCTGAGGTGCTGATGAGTTCCCTCAAGGAAGGGCCACAGGAGAGCTGTGGCTTCCTTCCCTTAGCTGAAATTTTGTGTTTTAACATCACTCTTTTGAGCTCTAGTCGTCCATTCTCTACTTTCCCCAGTCTCCTGACCTCTTCTGAAGTCCTTTCTGGCAGCCTGCGTTCTGCCCAGAGGCATGGTAGGGCCTCTTGGAGCCAGTGGACCATCTGACATATCACTGTTACTTCCTAGGACCCTATGTGGCCATTTTAACTGAGCTCAAAACTCCAGGCCAAGTTGCTGTCTTCTGGAGACCTCAGGTGGATTTCTTCTTAAGGTGTCTCAGGGAAGGGGCCCAGCCTGATGTAGTCCTGGCTGTTATCTTTAAAGCCTTGTTTTGTTGGCTGCCATCGAGTTGGCCCCCAACTTATTCATGGCAACCCCATGCACAGTGGGATAAACACTGTCCAGTGCTGCCCCAGCCCCACAATCAGTTGCAGATCCATAGGCTTTGCATTGGCTGATTTTTGGAAGCAGATCATCAGGTCTTCCTTTCTAGTCTGTTTAGTCCAGAAGCTCCAGTAAAGCCTGTTCCACATCATAGCAACACGCAGGCCTCTGACAGACAGGTGGTGGCTTCATATGAGGAAGCTACTCTGCTAGTGGGGCATCATGGGGTACAATGTCTTCTGGAGCTGAGGCAGCCCCTACTCCCATCTGCTCTAAATGTAAGAAAGCCCAGCACATATGGGACTGATCTCTAGTGCTGGGGCCATTTTGCACAGGAGGGAAAGATCTCAAGAAGAGTCAAAGGGACAAGCATAAGTCCATAGGACGTAACCTTGGCAAAGGGTAGAGGACTGGTTTGTGTGGATATGCAGTGCTTAACTGGAAATAATTTATTTGTTGTAGATACAGTTTATAGGTGACATTTTATTCATTTATTATACTTTTTTTTTTTTTAAATAAACAAATGTACAAAACTATGGATCTTAGTGTATTTAAATACTTTGGCTACTCACCCCCTGGTTCAGCAGAGGCCCCAGTTTCCCAGTGGTTTACTGTGACAGGCTCAACATGGGCTCAGCAGATGCTGTCTTCTCCATGTGTTTATGGTACAGGAAGCTGGGCTTCAAGCCGTGAGCTCTCCCTTGTCATTTGATCCCACACAGTGTAGGAAGCAGATGTTTTTTGTCACGAAAAAGAAAGGGTAGTCTTCAGAGTCTTGATACCACGTTCTCTGTTTTCACTGTATGCAAGTGGAAGGGAGGCATGGGTGCTATTGCCAGTGGGTCAACTCAAGCCAGAGTATGTTCTGTTGTTGAGGCAACATGAGCCCTCTGTGTGACCACTCCCCACACCTGACCCCAGAGAGGCCTGGGGCCAGCCACTGACTGCATTTGAGCTCTAACTGCAGTCTAGGTCACCAGCAACCAGGCAGAGGGAGGGAGGGAGTGGGAGAGGGAAGCTCCAGATGGCCCTCGCCATATGCCCTGCCGTGAGAGGAGGCCTGAGGCCTGAGCCCTGCGGCAGGATGAGCCCAGGAGAGTGGCTGTTACTGCACAACAAACCACCCCAAACAGTGACCTAAAACAGGAACAGTCATTTATTTTGCTCACAAATCTGTAATGTAAAAGGGCTTGGCAAGAACAAGTGACATCAGCTGGAGTAGCTCAACTTGGACTAAAGAATCTTCTTTCAATACTGCTCACTCATAAGGCGGGCTAGTTGGTGCCAGCTGTTGACGGGGAGCTTTGATTCCTCTCCCCTCTGGACTACTCCACGGGGAGTTTTGGGCTTCCTCACAACATAGGACTGAGTTCCAAGAATGAGTGTGCCCAGAATTAGGAAGTGGGAGCTGCCAGTCACTCCTGGCCTAGGCTTACAAACTGATACATCACTACATGCACTTTCTAGATGCGTCAATCACAGAGTCAACCCTGACTTAAGGGGAGGAAACAAAGACCCCCACAGCTCAATGTGAGAGGTGTCAAGAGACGTGCAGTCATCTTTAATATGCCACTGTGGGGCTGGAGAGATAGTGGAAGATTCCACACCCTTGGGCAACTCTGACCAATACCTTTCCCTTGATCTCCGTGTCCACATTAGCACCACATCCTACTTCTCTCACTGTCCCTTCTGATGTTCTTGGGCCTTAAGATTCAGTTTTCAACCTTACAGACTTTTCTCTCTGTGCACTGCCCATGGGATTCTAACTGTATCCTCTATGATGATAATGCCCCAAATCCTAGCTGACACCTACCTGGGCTCCAGGCCTACATCTTCAACAGCCTGGTGGACTGACCAGCTCATATAGGTAGTCCCCGACTTAAGAAAGGTTCTAATCCAATGACTCCATTGTAAGCCATGTTCTGTTCTAAGTACCTCATTATTTTATTTTTTTAGTTTTCATTATTACCATCTCTTATTATCAGTATCTTTATAAATCTGGCAGCATTCTGAACCACATAAGTCATAAAACTCAACATCTACCAAGTGAACATCTGAGAATGGTAACAGCAAATGGTATGCTACAACATATTACTAACAGTAAGATGTACCAAAAAACCCAAACAAAAAAAAAAAAAAAAACAGTCTTAAGCATGGTTTGACATAACTCAAATATGTTGTAATTCGAGTACTACCTATACATGCTGGTGGCGCCATAAACCTAGTAT